TTTACTACTACATGACGTGGGTGATAAAGATGCACAAGGACACATTTCTGTCCCTGCTGAAGCCTTCTGAAATCACATCTCTGCATCACAACGTGTATTTTTGTGTCACTGATGTCACAGTGCACGTCATACCTCTTCCAACTTAAGTCCCTCAAAGTGATGTGCAGCCAAAATGTGAGATCTAAATGCAGAGTGTGTGATTTAACAGAGAAGGGATAGAACTTACTGCAGTGAGAAAGCATACGAAGATAAGGAATGGCAATATATCTGACCCCATCATTTCTATGAGAAATGCCTCAATTTTGCTAGCCTGTGAGGGAAAAAAATAATGAAAAATTACGAGAATGAAGAAAAGAGCTCCATCACTGTATGAAACAGTACAGTAGAAAGGACAGAACCAGAAAACCTATACAAGTGTGACTAGAAGAGCTGTTTCTTTAAAACATATACAGCTAAGAAGATCTCCATCAGTCAGAAATCATAAACACTGTTCAGCCAGTGTCCAAAAACATTAGTGCTAGTACCTACTACACATTAGGAGAAGCCTTATCCCTGCCATCACAGAATGGCCTGGGTTGAAAAGGACCACAATGATCACCTGGTTCCAACCCCCTGCTGTGTGCAGGTCACCAACCAGCAGCCCAGGCTGCCCAGAGCCACATCCAGCCTGGCCTTGGATGCTTGCAGGGATGGGGCATCCACAGCCTCCTTGGGCAACCTGTTCCAGTGCCTCACCACCCTCTGGGTGAAAAACTTCCTCCTCATATCCAACCTAAACCTCCCCTGTCTCAGTTTAAAACCATTCCCCCTTGTCCTATCACTATCCACCCTCATAAACAGCCATTCCCCTCCTGTTTATACGCTCCCTTCAAGTACTGGAAGGCCACAATGAGGTCTCCCTGCAGCCTTCTCTTCTAAAGAAGCCCATTTCCCTCAACCTTTCCTCATAGAAGAGGTGCTCCAGCCCTCTGATCATCAGATACCAGACACCAACAGCAACCAGGCCTTCAGTTAGAAATAGCTGCCTTCTACACCACAGTACACACTTATCACCATACGTAATTTGTATACACCCAGCACAGCTAAGAAATATTCTATAAATCCCCTTCCATCCCATTAGAACTAACAAAGTTGTCACGACTTCCAAAGAACTGTAAAGCTGAGAACAGATTTCCAGACCTCCATCAGACTTGTCAGCCACAGGAAAAGCAGTTCTGGTCCACATTCTGCACCTGCAAGATTCAACTGTGCTCCAACTCAAATATTTGCAACTTTCTGTGTACCAAATTCCCAAAGAATGCACATCGATCAATGGATGCTTGTCTGCAGATTCCCAACTGTAAAACTTTCTGCTTGTAAAAATAAATAAAATTAGGAAAGCTTCACAAGATTTACTTCTACACTACCCTACCAGGCCATCTGATTGTGCAGTGGCACCACAAATATATATCTAAAATTCCAGCTGAAAAGCTTTCTGCTTGGTAATATTTAGTACCCGAGAAAGGATGGGATTGGCTTAACAGCTTTTGTCTCAAATGTCTCGATGTGGATCCTAGCAGTGATCTACCAGCTAGCAGGCCAGCTCTCTATTTCCATATTACATTTCTAAAATCACTTTTCCACGAAAAGAATCAGGTTTCAAAACTTAGATATACACAACGAGAGCATGTAAGTGCTGGGAGCTGCTTAGCATAGCAAAATGTTTCTCTTGAGTGAAAACTACCAGTCTGAAACCTCCTCAGGGAAGGGTGTCTTAAAGTGTCAAGGAAACTCATGCAAGCTGCTTGCCTTAATGAGTTTAAGCTGCTGGCACCAGAGCTACTGCCAAAGTTTCACTCCCCATGCAATTGTTTTGCAGGAGGGAGGAGCAATTAAAAAAAAAAAATCATCAATTTAAATTCACTCAGAAAACTAAGTATTTGCAAAAGTAATTGGGAAATTATGTACTGGAAGTTTAGGTTATAGGTATGTTTTAAGTGAACTCGGAAAGTCTGTCCCTTGTGCTTCTAATAGTTACAGGACCACCATCAGTTTTAATTCAGAGCTATAAGCACAGTGCACCCACTTTCTGAAACACTGAAATGAAGATCCTTCAAAAACCTGAGAGATGATATGATTTTATTCACATATTTTTTTATTCTAAGGGTGTTCAAGCGATCTGTAACTTCAAGGCCAAATCATGCCTTTTGTTAAAATGTTCTGAAAGGCATCAAATGGTAACTTCTACACAAAACATCCCTATATGGTAACAGACAATAGTTCTTTGGATACAATAAAAGAAATACTGCAGAGTTTTTAAATTTGTAAGCCTAGCATTTACAGTGGAGATATTGAAGTTGGGCTTTTCAATCCACAAAAACAACAGGTTAAAATCTACAAACCCTTACGGAAAACATTGAAATAATTCAGCCATGCTTCCTCAGCTTGAAGAAGCTCAAAATATTATAGGGCAATGTCAATTGTAGACAGCATCTGCTACATTGATTTGCATTAATATTGAAAGTGCATGATAATAAAATGACTTCCACATAAGAATCCACAGTTTTTCTGCTTGCTGTGGGGGTCTCATCCTTCCCTGTACTATGAGATTCTGAAAAGACAGATAGCAAAGACAAAGCAAAACATAAAGTAAGAATGCTTAAAGGAACTGTGCGCTCTTAAAATTTGCTTAATCTTCCATTTAGAAGGCAAAATCTTGCTGAAGGGGCTGTTTTTCTGCAGAATACATTCAAAGATCAGCTGTTACATACTGCAGGAATTTAACCAACAAAGAGAAGGTTATAAAACATCTTAATACAACAATAATCCACAGCATCAGGCTGAGGAGAACACATCAATCTTCTCAGTGGGTTCGCACTTTCTTCCAATTGTCTTTTTGTTTATGGAGTTAGAAAGAAGTTTATTCTTTGATAATGTTACGTTGTGCCACAGAAATAGGTCACGGATGACATGTAGTTTTGTAATCACTGTAAATATGCATATGTGCATCTCAGATATGCTGTTGGTACACCACTCTGCCATTAGGCACTGAGAAATACAGCACATGGTATCAAGACTGGAAGATGCAATCTTGTTTACTGAAAATATGGATTTAATGCAGTTGTCAACACTCAAAGGTCTCTTCGTAAGTAGTTCCTACAGGGATACCTTATGCTCTAGGTTGGACTGCATGAGACAACTTCCAACCTCTAAGCAGTTCTTTGTGCACATAACAACTTCTTATCTTTAGATGAAATTGCACCTCTCAGTCTGAAATCTTCACGTTGTATTATTTTAGCAACGAGAGCAAAACCACAACATCCCAGTACCCTGCGCTCACAGGAGAACCTCACAGCTCTTTAAATTTAGCTCCTGTATACAACTAAACATTCATACCAAACTGCTAAAGAAATGAGGCTCCAAAAAATATCAGCCAAAGGTTTTCTGGAACAGTATTAAGAAATAATATGATCAACAACGTCCTTTAAGACAAATTAATAAGTTTCTAATGACAAAATCTCTTTGATCACATAAATATGTGGAAGTTTGTTTCTTCATAAATGCTTTATAAACGAATGCTAAGCCACAAAATATTTTATCTTACCAAGTATCTGATCTATTACTACAACTAGATGCTGAAGTTCCCATGAATGCTAAACTCACCAAACACTGGATAGCATTATAAATAAAACCTCGAGTCTCAGGCAGACTATTACATGTAATTGCTTGGTTAGAAAAACAAAAAGCCTTCACGATTTGGCATTCCTCTTTCAAACACCAACTCACTGAAAGCGCTTTCAAAATCTCTATCCTTCAACTATAAATTTACACTGTGAGTTTCTATCTCAGCTTTATTATCAGTATCTACATTTGAGTGTTGGCTGCCTGGGGCAAGGACTGAGTTCGTACAGCACGCCAATCATACTGCAAAGTACTGGATTCATCTCTATAAAGCAAAAAGAATGCAGGTGGAAAGAGAGAGAAGAGATACCAATGATAGCAGCAAGTCCACGTAAAGGAAATAAATTATATGCAATAGTTCCCTTCTACCTAAGATTTTAAAACTGGTGTTTTTAGCCACGTAAGTTGCATAGACTTCTGCAACCATAGCACGCACGTTGTCCAGCTATTCCAACAGAAGGAGGGCACAACTCCTGCAGGTGAAGCTGCAGCCAGCGCAGTGACAGAGCAACCTGCACCTCCGCAAATCGCTGCTCGCACCACAGCTCCTGCATTCAGTCCATACTCATTCCCACCACCGTTCTCTTGCTTCACACCGCATCCACCACCGCCAACACAGCGTGTGCCAGTTGCCATCCCCAGAACAATACACAGCTCCCCTGAAAAGACAAATCTCACGTTCCTCACACGTTTTCTGCGTACAGCACTTCCTCCTCCTTTCCCTTCCATCACTTCCACGGCACGGCGTGACAAAACTCAGCGACGACAACAGAACGCACCATTAAAAGAGAAACACGCCTCGAAGAATCCGTTCTTCACGCTTGCGAGCCAAAAAAAAAAAAAAAAAGCTAAAAAGCAAACCAAAAAAGCGCGGCGACGCGCATCCTACAACCGACATCCCGAGAGCAGCGGGGAGAGGAAAAACACCACAGCAAAGAGCTGAGGGAGAAGAAAACCTTCCGTTTTCTCCCTACCTGCACCTACACAACAGCGGGCTTCCGCAGGAGCCGCCTCCTCACCTGACACCTCCAGGAAGGAGCGCGTTTCATCGCGATCAGAATCACAGCGGTGGGGGGCACACAAAGCCGGTTTTAGGGGCTGCCATCTCCCCTCCCCCCCCCCCCCCGCCCCTCCCAGCAGGTGGCAGCCCCCCAACCCCCCGCAATTCTTCACCCCTTCCCCCCCGCCTCTCACCGGTCCCTCAGGCGGTTCAGCCCCGCTCCCTCCGCCCCCCACCCGCGGTCGGGCCTAGCGCTGCCGCCAGGCCTGAGAGAAGGGGGAAGGGGAGCCGGGCCGGCCGGGCGGCCCGCATTCACTCACTCACTCCCTCACTCACTCACCCAGGCCGATCCCCTCAGGGCCGCCCCCGCCGCCTTCCATGCCGGGCGGCGAGAGGAGGAGGGGGGCACGGGCGAGGCGGCGGAGGGCGGGTGGAGGAGGCGAGGCGAGGCGAGGCGAAGCGGGAGGGCGGAGGGCAGGGCGGCCGGGGCCGGCCCTCCCTCTCCTCCTTCCCTCCCCTCCCCTCCGCTCGGCCCCCCTCAGCCGCCTCCGAGACGTTCCGAGCGATCGCCGCCTTCGGGCTGAGGGTTCGGCTTTACGCCGAAGGACGCGCTTCCCGCTCGGACTCGGCGGCTCGCCGTTCCTCTCCTCCTCCTCCTCCGCCGCCGCCGCCGCAGCGCTACGTGGCCGCCCGCAGCCAGTCTCGCGACTCCGCCGCGCGCACGCGCGGGCACGCGCCGAGGAGGTGGTTGCCGCGGGCGCGCGCGCGGGGGGGAGACACCCATAGGCTGAGGGGAGGGCGAGCGGCGCGAGGCGGCGCATGCGCGGCTGCCTCTCTTTCCTCTGGCCTCCCCCCCCCCGCTTTCCTCTCTATTCAGCTTAGGCGGCGGAGGGGGCGCGGAGCGCAGGTGAGCGCACGTTGTGGGGGAGCTGTGCGCATGCGCGGCGGCCCGGCGGGGTTCAGGTGAGGCGCGCGCGCGGCGGAAGGAGGGGCCGAGCGGCGGCTGCTGCCCCCGGCCGCGCCGACCGTTACTCCGCTGAGGTAATAAAAGAGGCCGCCCTAATTGCAGTCAGCTGAGCTGGGCAAGTTGCGGCTTCGCTCCTGTCCACGCCTCCTTCCCTCGGGCACCTCGGTGGCTCTGCTGAAGGCGGGAGGGATGGAGGTAACGCTTCACTGCTGGAAGAGGCCGGGCGGGTCTCTGAGGGCCGCCCCTCAGGAGCCAGGTAAGGGGAGAGAAAACCCACCGGACCGAGGATCCTATCATTCCGTTAGAACAAAGCCCAGTTTCTTCTTGTTCTCAACCCTTCTCTTGTCTTTAAAACACTAATAACCGCTTAACTCTGGCCTGTGGTTTCTTGATTGCACCCACCCGCAGGGCCTGTGTGATGTGTGAGAGAGAGATGCGACGAGAAATGGATTTTGCTGGTGGAATTGGCAGCTCGGGGCAGGTATGGGGCTTGTGAAGGGCTGGGGGGGGTCCGTAGGGGGGTGGGGGTTTGAGGGGGGCTTTGTGTGGTGTGGGTCAGGGCCCACAGTGCTGAGCAGCAGTCCCACCTCCCCCAGGAAGCAGCAGTGCCTCCTCCATAGCCGTGAAAACCACTTCTGAGAGCTGTGTAGGAGGGGAGAGCACTGCTGTGGTTTAGGTTTGGCGGCAGCAAAAGGACGGGCGAGAGTGGCAGAAACAGGAAAAAGGGGCAGGGCACAGCCTTTTTGGTGGTGTTAGCTGCATCCAAAGACTTAAGGAATTTTGTGCTGCGTAGCTTTGACTCCCTCCTGCCTGATTTCAGACCCGTATCCCTTCCATAGCCCCCTCTTAAAATCATTTAGTCCCTTCCTTTACCTATGGTTTGTTTCCTTGTTTGCTGTAAACGGTCCCCAAATGGTGTAGGAATCTAATGTGAGCTTTTTTTTGGGGAAACAAAAAGTCTTTTCGCCTACTGAAATGCTACCTGCTGGAATATTTGACCTACTTTTTATTACTGCACATAAAACCCAGATTTCAGCTCCCTGTGGAGAGCAGGGATTGGGGCTCTCAAAGTTCACAATCAAATAAAAGGGACAGTGTGTGCTTGGGAAGCACCATGGTAAGATCAGAATGGTGTTTATAGAATCACAGATTGGCTTGGGTTGGAAAGAACCTTAAAGATCATCTAGTTCCAACTGCCTGCCAGCTTTCTTATTTGCCCCAGCAACTCCTGCTGTGTGGGCATGGGAAAGGAGTAAAGCACAACATACTTTGCTCAGGCCAGCCCTGTTGGAGTTATTACTGCAGGCTCAGTTCAGAGCAGACCCCAGGCTGTTCTCATCTCTGCAGGGACTGTGTATAGCTGGGAGGGGAGAGGGTAGCTAAGGGAGACCCAGGTTTTGAGAGCATGTTGTTGCCCCTGCTCAGCCCCACACCTTTGTGCAATATAGCTCTTCATAAAGAGAGGCCATGTAATTAAATTTCAGACCTTGGAAAGGACAGGAAGAAAAGCTCTGGAGACTTTTTTCTTGACAGATGGATGAACAAGAAAACAATGGGTCGTAGAGATTTCAAATGTGAAATTCTATCAGAGGGATAACTGTGTCCATTGCTTGCCAGTATCCCACTTGGCTCCAAAGGAGTGCAGGTGAGGAGTCAAGCCACCAGCTATTTCCATTTCTGTATAAAAGCACAGCCACTGCTAATGTCTCTTCATGGGACAAAAGCGGGCAAGTACCTTGATAAGTTTTTTCTCCAGTGTGTGGGGAGAGCACTTAGTCTCTCAATTTGTTGTGCTGTACCCCCCTTCCCTGATGCTGTGCCTGTGGTAAAGAAGCCTGGCTTTTTTGAACCTGTGGCATGAAGTCCCCTTACCTTAAAATAGATCCTGGAAGATTGCAGAGGCTTTCCTGTAAAAGATGCTTTTTGACTTCAGTTTCACATAGTGATTTTGCTCTCTCCAAGAACAAATTGTACAGAGGTTAAAAGGAAATGTTAACTCCCTCTTTCTCAGCAGACACCTAGGACTCTGCAGAGGAAGGACTTGAAAAGATAAGGGACTGAGTGCAAGTATTCTTGGACTGTCAGACTTCCAACACCACAACAAAGCACTTGTCCTTATCTCTCTGCTTTGTCACTTCTGCATCTGTGTTGGGGAAGAGGCTGCTGCAGAGGAGACTGACTCTTCTAAGCCTTGCTGTGTGATTTGGCTCCTGAATGCCCAGGGCACCCTGCAGTTGCACACTTTCTTCCCTGGCTGTTTTATTAATGGAAGTTGACATCCTCATGCTGGCTCCCAGGGAGGGATCTGTCTGAGTCATTGGCTGTAACACAGCCCTTTTCCCACAAAGGGCTCCCTTCAGCTATTTACATCCCTCTCTTTGATCTGTCTTTTGACATGAAAAGACATGTCAGCCAGGTAAAGGGAAACAAACAAAATGCAGGAACAGTCCCACATCTCTGCTTGCACATGATCCGCTCCCTAGCACACGCCTGCCTTACAGCCACAGATCCTTATCAGCCCTCTGATTTCCTTGCTATCATTTCTGTCTTTCCCTTCATGCTGTTGTTTAACTTCGAGAGGCATATATGTGCATCTTGTTCACTGCTCAGTAAGATGCTGTGGCACGTTTGCCTACTCTTTCTGGTATTTCCCTTCTATCTATAGTACAACTAGTATGGGAAATGCCCTCACACATCCTCCTCACTTCATGCAGTGCCAGGAACAGGTGATACAGATCTTCATTTCCTGCCTTAAACTGCTGCAGTGTTTCAGCAAGCAGCTGTTTGCAGCTCACTCCAGAAGTAGCAGCAATGCAACTGTAGGTGAATTCCTTTGTGGAAACCAGATCTTTCATTGCTTAGTAGCTTAGGATCTTTCAGAGTTAAAATAAATAAAAAGACTAAATATTATGCAAATTCAAATTAGATGCACCAGAACACAGTATCACACACCTGTGTTTTTTCTATGGGACTGGGTGTTCTAGAATTGCTGAGAAAGCAAATCTAATGGATAAGAATGTTGTTGAGATGCAGCTCTTTGGAGATGACTGCTAGTGCCAGGTGCAGAATAGTGTGGGAAGGAGAAAAATCGAACAGAGCTTAGTTCCTACCTTTATCAGCAGTTAATTTTCTTGTGGCATTGGCCAGCTTGTTGGATTTGCACAGCTTGGTGCTCTTGGGCAATCTCTGAGCTGATTGGTCTGGTCATTTTATGTCTTCCAGGTAGTAAACCGGTGCTGGAGTGCTCTGGTAAAGGAGATGTCTGTCCGGTCCAGGGCATGCGTCCCATTTAAGCTGTGCTGCTGCGGTGGCTCCATTGGTGAGGGTTCTCTACTCTACCCAAGCAGTGATAGCTCTCTGCTTCACCTGGACTTGTGCTATGGTAATTTCTGGGGAAACTCTCAGCAGCCAGTGAAACAGCCCTGCTAGTGTTCTTTCTTCCTACAGCCAGCAGGGAGGTGGGCTGCCTTCCTTTTTCCTACTCACTGTTCCCACAGGTGAATCTTCATGGCTTGTGCTGTTTCAGGGCTGGCAGCAAGCATAGCAAGGTGATGTTTGACTGAGGCCTCCACATCATAACAGTTCTGCTTTGGGAAAAACCTGAAGTCAGCATTGAGGGCCTGGTGAGAATGCGGTTGCAAGTAGGATTCTTTCTCCTTCCCTAAAGGGGAAACGCCCTCAGGGTTAGATGTTGCTCAAGGATGCTGCAGTGAACAGGCATTGAGTGAGAAGCGAAACTTAAGCACAGACAGGAGCACTGATGTCTTGCTCTAACCCAACCACTTTCGTTTTGGAATAATACTTGAACTTCAGGTATTGTGCTATGTCTTGCAGGATTCAGGATCCTCTCAAGCAATGGGAAAGGAAGCAAAAGGGAAACAAAGGACTTTTCCTGCCAGCTCCTGTCACAGGAAGCCCTATGCTCAAAGGGAACCACCCCCTTGAGCGTTGGGCTTTGACACTGGATCAGCACAGAGAAGATCAGACAGAGGAAATTCCTGTTCCCACTCTCCCTTCTCCTTTGCTAGCTCAGTGTAAGGCCACAGTTAAAGATTATCTGTCTCCAAATAATGCAGTTAACACCCACTAGCACCTCTCTTCATACCCTTGGTTAGACCTTAAGAGCAGCAGGATGCAGAGTGGCCATACAGAGATTGAGTAAACTCCTGATTCCACACAGAACTACCTAGAAATTAAACCATATGTCTAAGCTTGCTGTTCAGACACTTGGTGCTATGACTGATACGTAAGCTTTAAGACTTGTGATGAAGTAATTAAGTGTGAGTATCACCTTACCAGGCTGTGGAGACACACTCTTTTGTCAAGAACACCTCTACTCTGATCAGCATAAACTTCCTACCAGAGCTATATGAGTGCAGGTCCATTATATGTTGAGAATGTATATAGTGAGAAAAAAAGTGGCTAAACTGTAGTCCTTTCCACTCACGTCCAATATTATAGC